TACCTGCCCCTGGTCCCCTTTACACTATCACGACCCCTGGGAATTGGAATGCAACTGCCCGTAGGAAGCCGTTGTCGATCCCATTCAGAACAGCATTCGAATCCATCGACACCGAGCTGGCTGATAACACCGTGATTTCGGATATCTTGGACGGCCCTGACGCAGGGCGCCCAGAATGTGCACTGGATACACCTGCTTACAAAAATCATCCTTTGGTTGTTCGAGCCCGAGAGGCTCACGAACCACGGCCCCTTCCAGTTGGTTTGTATGTGGATGGCATAAATTACCAAAACGGTGCGTCTGGTAGACAAGATTCGGTCGTCGGGTTCTGGGCAATCAACCTCGTCACGTCAAAACGCCATCTATTGGGTGCTGTGAAAGATCGGGACGGTTGCAGGTGTGGCTGCAAGCATTGGTGCACGCTGTATCCAGTGCTATTGGCTCTGTGAACGCCTTAGCGCCCCGAATCCAAGCATGCGCGCGTCCGATAGGGGAACTCCCTTGTTTCGCCGCGTGCTGGACTCAATTCGAAATCGCTGCAGCCCATGGGCTGATAGGTGTTTTTGTTTAAATAAACACACGTGTGAGGGGGTCAGTAGGTCTTCCGCCGCCAAGGGGAGGGGGGAAGTGGAACAGTGCATTTGGATTCATGGTGTCTTAGGCAATGGATGTTCAAGGCGCTCTTGGACGGCAAATATCCTGCGCTTAGACACGAGGCGTCAGACTGGGAACCTGGTGACCCCTTGAGTGATCAAAGATACATGAAGAGAAAATCGGTTCTTCTTTGGATCAAGGGGGACTGGTCGGAGCACAGCAACACGTTAGGTTTGTCATCATGGGCAAGTAAATACGACCCTTGCCAATTCTGTTGCCTCGAGAAGTCAGAACTTCATAGTATGAACCACTGTATGTTGGAGCATCCCGAGTCACCAGTTTGGCCGATTCGACACCACGACGATTACGAGCGCTCGTGTGCACGTTGCGAAGTCCACATCACGTGCACGACGGCCGACGAGAGGAACCAACTATCCGATGCAATCGAATGTTTTTTTTTTTTTTTTTTTAAAAAAAAAAAAAAAAAAAAAAAAAAAAAAAAAAAAAAAAAAAAAAAAAAAAAAAACGGGGGCCAACAGTGACTCGAGACGTGCTTGTCGGCGGGGTGGCGCTCCGACCAGGAGATAGACTCGAGCCCTCTCCCACGCTGATCGACGTTGCATCCTTCTCACGAGCAGCGCTTCCTGTCTGTGCAATATTTTGGAGGTCTCGACGGGGAGCCCACGATGGCATTGCGTTGGGCCCCATTACGCACAGGTCTTCGGGGTGCAATGGGCGGAGCTGGAGGAAGGAGGATGGGAGGACGAGGAGGAAGGAACAATAATGAGAGCGACGGAAACGACAAAGCAACACCAAATGCTTTGGGTCGGGGATTGGCAACAGCCAGAGAATATAGTATGTGCCTTCCTCTTTCTCTTGGTCCCCTCTTCCTGCTCCTCCACGCCCTGATCGTCTCGCTAACGTCGTCCAACTCGTCGCAGTCGTCGTCGCGGTCGCGAGGGCGACTGCGACGACCCCCTGCCTCCTTCCTTGGGGGAAGACATGTCACCCACAGGTGTCCATTATTTGCCGAGTCCCTGTGTACTTCCCCAGCGAGGAGTCTTGCCATAGACTCCTTGCACGCATTGTATCATGGGCCGGTGCAAAGATATGTTTCTGCGAGCATCTGGAGGATACTACATTCTAACCCTTGGAACTGCAGGGGCCCTCTCCAGACGCGCCTCGAGGTGGGGCGTCGTCGACTGTCGGCGTCCATGGATGAATGGTTTCGGAATCATCCAAACGAGCAGATGCGCCAAAAGAAAATTGGATACCTCACATTGGCGGCTCTGGGGTCGACGAAAAGCAAAGACGTTCCGAACTTGTCAAAACACCCTGGATGCACAATGAGTTTCAAAGCTGCCGAGACGGGTGTTCTTTTAGAGTTCGCGGTGTACATTCTCGAATCGAACGGAGGGGCCGAGACATATGGTCATGGTTTAATGCAAGTTGGTTACTCATTGCTTCAGTATCTCGATTTGATCCGTCAGAACACTGGCGTCATCTCTGAGGGGGTGGCTTCGGAGCTCATGACGTGCATGGTCGTGCACCTCCGTTGTTGCGAGCTGGTGGGTATCTCGCTCACTCCCAAACACCATCTTTGTGTTCATATGACCGACAGGCGACTCGTCGGAATCTGGATCGTTTCACTCTGGGACTCTGTCGGCGGAGGTTTCCGTGTTCATAGTTTCGCGCGCGACCCCAGTGTGAAACAATCCAAATTCCGAGATGACCGACTCTCGCGGCGCAAGTTTTTGCCAGCCGTACTGTCTCAATCCCCTCTCATAACCTCTGACGCCCGAACCGAATCCTGACATGCACCGTGCCGCTCCCCCTCTTCAAAGAAACGACTCCCCTTCGACACTCGAACGATTTCGAAATCACAACGGGTCCAAAAGAGACGGTGCGGTTGGCCCAGGGTTACCGAACACGGGTCCTTGAAAATGTACAATTGTTTCATTGGCGAAACGCTCAACTTGCCCGTGCGGAACATCGCGCGCTTCGCTCATAGGCTCACGTTCTATTCGAGGACCCATTCTTTCATCAACTTGCAGTCGCAATTGAACCTCATTCCGTACATTCCTGGGGGGCAATGGCTTCCTCTCGTCTCTGGATTTTGATGCTGGTGGCGATGCGTTTCACAAGTCTTGCATGGGCTGGCAAGAGAGCCTCCAAGAGGCCATCAGCGAATGTTCCCGATCATCCCGCGCACCAGACGTTCGAGCAGGCCCACTGCTGGGCCCGACTTCGATCTGAATATTATTCTGACCGAGGGGTGCTGACCAACTTGGCGAGCGAAGACTCTGATGGTTCGGTCTTCAAAGATCTATTCCGCGACGTGTGTGAGATTGCGCCTACGATCACCCGCAACGTTGCCTTTGCAGAGCTGTTTGTTGGTTTCGCTGACGCGACTGCATTTATGAATGTGCGTGGGTATCGTGCATATGCATACGACAGGAAATACGGCGACGACATGCAGGACATGTGCACAATCGGAGGGACACTGTATGCATTATATTTGGTCACATCAGTGGTGAGTTCTGGTGTACTTCATTGCTCACCTCAGTGTAGCACATGGGTCTGTGTGTCCCGCGGCCACACTGGACGGCGATCTCGCTTCGTCGAGGGGGGCGAGAGCAGGACCGACGTGAGGGAGGCCAATTGGATTTCGTTTGCCTTGTTCCTTGGGAGCGCGAACACATCTAATCATTCCAGCCCCCCCCCCCCCCCTCTGAGTTCACCGCGCCATGGATTCGGCTATCAACGATTGGGTCCCGATCTTTCAATGGACCTTCAACGGGTCCTCAATGGGTCTTTGTTTTGACACGCGCATCGCGAAGGCATAAACCTACCAACGGTTCGCATGCGAATGGGCTGTCTTGGACCTGGCCCCCTGGTGGTTATTCGAATCGGTTCAGACCCGAAACGGCGCCCCCTTCCCGCGCTACGTTTTCGGGCCAATGCTCCCTCTGCCCATCCCTCTCTCTCCGACCTCCACCCCTCTCTCCCTCCAAGATGTTCTCTCCCTCCCTCACCCGTCCCTCTTTTCGTCCGCCCCGTCCCACCCGTCGGCCCACTCTGAGACGGTGGCCTGGCGGGCCGCGGGTTTCGGATGAAGGGGATTGGCGAGTGGAGCGTGAGATGTGCGACGAGGGGGAGTTGGCGCAGAGAACTGGGAGTGGAGGGGCCATCGCATTGGAAGTCCCGAGAGGTCCCAGATCCTTGTTTACGCGGTCACGCGCGGGGTGCACGTGATCATAGAGCAGCCTTTGAACTCTCTGCTCTACCATTCCGCGGAGCTGAAGGCCGCCATCGAGGTGGCCAACTTGCGCCGTTTCACATCGTGCATGGGGGGTTTGGTTACATGACCCTCGCGCCCATGGAATTCTTTAGTAACTTGCCACCCGAGGCCACATCGACACTTCAGATGGGCCGCGCCGAGTTTAGAGCTATCCAGGACTCTCCAAGTCAACCGCTGGCCCCCATTACTCCCCGAGAAAAAACGCGGGCAGCGGCGCTGGCTGGAAACGTCACGGTTGGGTCTCGGGAGACCATCGGAACATCAAAGCTTCTGAAAGGTACCCCGAGGCATTCAGCCAGGCGCTTGTTAATGTTTCTATCGCCGTCATGAGCGACGAGGGTCGCGCGGCTGCGAGTCTGTGACCAGCCGGCGAGGAGGAGGAGGGCGAGGAGGAGGAAGAGGAGGAGGAGGAGGAGGTAGAGCTAAACAAAACAAACAAATACAGATCACGAAACAGAAAACGAACATATAGAGGAGGTGGGAGTACACATAATTTCAGATGGCAACCCCAGACGTTGCTTGTGGAGGCGCCTGACTGCGCTGCTGCTCTGTTCAACTGCGAACTGTCGTGTCCGCAGAAGACAGGGGGGAGAGAGAGAGAGCTTGATCTCTCGGCTAGATCAGAACCGTATCTCGAAGGAATGGGAGTGTTCAGACGCTCGGGAATGTGCCACGAGTTGGCCCGCGCCCCGTTCCTCGTCGACCAGCGTTTTACACTGTGGTCTGCGCTCCCTTTCACCTCCTCCACCTCCCCCCCTCTTGCCTCTCCCTCTCCTCCTCCTCCCCCTCCTCCTCCCCCCCCTCCCCCCACCCCTCCTCCTCCTCCTCCTCCTCCTCCTCCTCCTCCTCCTCCTCCTCCTCCTCCCCCTCCTCTCCCCCTCCTCCTCCCTCCTCCTCCTCCTCCTCTCCCCCCTCCCCCTCCCCCTCCCCCTCCTCATCCTCCTCCTCCTCCTCCTCCTCCTCCTCCCCCTCCCCTCCTCCTCATCCTGTCGTCCTCGTCCTCCTCGTCCTCCTCCTCTTCCTCGCCTTTCCCCTCGCTGCTATCATCCGCGATCGTAGGCTCAAATCCCAGGGGTTTCACGGATTCCAGGGGAACTCGGTGGCCATGGCCCTTTCCAAGGCAGAGCTCGAACGCCAGATGATAGCAGATCTTCGCAAGGACGGTCATTCCGAGGACGAGATCGCTCGGCTGAGGAGGCCCGATTTGCAAACGGACGGCTGACCCCCTTCAAGCATTTAGGCTCGCGGGGTCGGACCATTCCCGTTCATGGGTGCCCGAGGGGCGCCCGACGAAACATTTACGAACCCAGGGTCGTCAATGTGCCATCGCCGTTTGCAAATCGAGCCTCCTCAGCCACGTCAGGCCTTTCGATCCGAACCCATCCAACTGACGCCAGAAATCAGATTCAGAAAAGAGGGCGGAGTTGGACTCGCTCGCCAAAAAGCAGCAGGAAGAAACAGAACGGGCCCTTCAGGAACTGCGCGCCGAGCGGACGAGGCTGGCGGAAGAAGACCTGCAGAAATCGGCGGACAAAGGTGGAGGTTCGAAACTTTGACCGCCAGTGCGATGATATCTGCGGTGTCTCTCCGCCCCTGTCCGCGCCAGCCTCCCCGATGAGGCCAGTGGAGGGCAGGGGGCGGGGGGCGCCGCAGATAGCATCAACCCCAACCTTGAAACCCAATGCCCCCAGAATCAGAGAACATCGGGTTGAAGAAAGGGGCGCCTACTGGGTCGAGCGGGAGTCGTGAAACGCCGCCCGCCGACAACCAGCCTCCGCGTAATTAGGTTCTCTCGCCCCGACGCCCTCGCCCAACAACCGGGCGAGCCTGGCTCGATGGCCGAAAACTGGAGAACGGCGAACTTCTCTGGAGGACGCCGAGGAAGGAGAGGGAGAAAACGAGGAGGAGGACGAACAGGAGGAAGAGGAGAACGAGAGGAATAGGAAACGAAGGAAGATAACGGGCGACGAAGGGGGGCGACAAGGAAAGGGAGGAGGGGGGGCAGGAGGTAGGAGGGGGGAGGCGGACGAGGGGGGGAACAGAAGGAGGAGGAGGAAGTGGATGACGATGGTACGTTTAGTGCAAGGTGCGACAGCATCCCACGTGTTATGAATAGTGTTGTATGTGTTTTTAATAGTTGTTTTGCATTGTGTGCATCAACAAGTTGAGTACTCACCATTGCGAAGATTTCACACCATAGCTCGTTTACAACATACGCTAGCTTGCAGGACGCCGCTGATCGAATCGCTGAACTTGGCGATCGAGACTACGATTACAACGCCCAATGAGAATTGAAGAAAGAAAATGAAGAAACAGCAACACCACAACAAATTTCAATCAAATGCTAAACCACACCACACCAACAACAACCAACCAAACAACAAACACAAAACACACAACATTTATAAACCCACAGCAAAACCATGTTGAACGATATATGTTGCAACTATAAAAATAGGTGCTAAATCCGCCGGCTACTTTATAGATGTTTACAACCTCTGGGAGTGGTAGGACCTGTCACCGCTGTGGAGAGACGCGGCCGCCGCTCCGGGCGAGGGCCGCGGACGCGGCAGTGGTCCCCCGCGCGCCTGCGCGGCGGCCTCCGCCGGCGCAGGATGAGAGCAGGGAACGTTTAAACCTCCTCCCGCCGGATTGGGAAGCGCGGGTTCGTGCCCTCCCCAGCGCCGCTGGGGCCCACCTGCCGTCAGCAGCGCGGGATGGCCTCGCCGTCGCCGCAGCCGAGGCGCTCGAAGTACTTCTGGCAGGGGAGGAGGACTGCCTCCTGGAACTGGGCCGTGCCAAGCTGCTCCTCGCGCCGCCGCCCGCTGGCGTGCTCCTCAGGACAGAGGTGCCCGAGCGTCTCCGGCTCTGGCGGGAGCGGGAATGGGAAGCCTTGCTCGTTCGGGCTGAAGCCCAGGCTCGGGAGCGCGCTCGGGGACGGGCCGGCCCCACGGCGCCGCAGCCGCAGCGAGGCCGGCGAGCGCGCAAGCTCGCGCGGGGCGGCGCCTACCGAAAGGGCATGGCGGCGCTCACGGGCAGCTTGGCGCCGCTAACGCCAGACGAGGTGGCGTGGGCGGCCCGCCTGCTGCCCAGCTCGGAACAGCCCCAGGCGGCCCGGGCACCGTGGCCGCCGCGGCCGCCGCAGCCAGCGCCGCCAGAAGCCCAGGCGGAGGACGACGACGTTGCCGCCGCGGAGCTCCGCCCGAGCAGCGGCGGGAAGAAAGGCCTCTGGCAGGAAGCGCTGGCGGGCGTCCGCTTCCCTCGCCTCAGCGGAGCTGGCCCGACCAGCGCTCGTCCCGAACACCTCCGGGAGGCGCTCCAGGGCCGCAGCAGGGCGGCGCAGAACAGGCAGCTCCGGGCAGTCGCGGAGCTCCGGCGCAGGGGCGCCCAAGGCACCCTGCCTGCAACAGCGCACTGGATCACCGACTCGCGCGTGGTCTTCCTGCGTAAGCCAGGCACGGATACCCCGCGCCCGATCCACGTCGGTGAACTGCGGCGCCAGGTGGTAGCCGCGGGGATGGCGGCTGACAGCAGAGTGCATATCCAGCGCCTTTTTTTCGAACACCGGCAGTGCGGGGTCGGCCTGCCGGGCGGCGCGGAGGTGCTGGTGCACGTGCGCCGGTGCTTGGAGGCGGGGGCGCCCCTGGGGGAGGTTGCCGCCCTCGAGATCTCGACTTGCGGAACGCGTTTCCCTCCTTCGAGTGGGCGGCTGTGCGCCAGGCGGTTGACGCCCACGCTCCATCGCTAGCATGCTCGACAGCGTGGTGCCACAGCGAGCCGGCGTGGATCCAGCTCCCCGCAGGCAGCTGGCAGGCTTGTGACCGCGCGCGGGGCGAAGCAAGGGGGCCCACTTGGCCCAGCGCGCTGCGGCCTCGTCTTGCTGGAGTGCCAGGCTGCAGGGCGTCGCGCCGTGGAGGCGGCTGGCGGGTGGGCGTGGAACGGCTGGTGCGTGGACGATGGCCAGGTGCTGCTTCCACTGGCGCACGTGGCTGCCTACCTCGAGGCGTTCGACGCTGCTCTGGCCGCCCGCGGAGGCAGCCGGCTGGCCCCTGACGGGTCTTTCAAAAGCGTGGTGCGCCTGATCGGCGGTGGCGCGACGGCTGGCCGAGTACCGCCGGACTGGGCAGACGGCGTCGTTGCGGCTACGTGCCGGCGCCCGCCGCCAGGGGGGCCGGCTGGCAGGGTCCTCGGCGTGGAAATAGCCGGTGCCACGCTCCCGGAGCAGCTTGCGCAGGCCACGGCAGCGGTCGACTCCACCTGCGAGGCCTTGGCGCTGGTGGAGGACCCCCCGGCGGAGCTCGCTTTCCTCCGGACCTCGGCTAACGTGCGTCGGATTGCCCACTTGCCGCGGGCGGCCGGGCCGGAGGTGCCGCACGCCAGCCTGGTCTGACGCGCAGCAGGCCCGGGCGCTGGGTGGCGTCCTCGGCGGGCCCCTCCCGCCCGAGGCGGTGGATCGGGCTACCTGCGCGGCCGCAGACGGGGGGCTCGGCCCCCGCCGGGCCGTCGACCCGCGCTACCCAGCGTTCCTCGCCAGCCGCGTGGAGGCGCGGGGGCTGGCAGAGGAGGTCCTGGACGCTATGCCGGAGCCGTGGCGCGGGGCGCTGCTGGCGCACTGGGATTCCACTTCGGCGGGCGCGCTGGCAGCATGGCGGGCGGAGCTCCCGGCCTCGACTGCAGAGGTCGCCGCCCAGCACCTCCAGGCCGGAGCGACGGCGGCGCTGACGCGCGGGCAGCGCAGCTTGCGGGGCGGGCGCCGCTGCCTCCCCCTTTCTACGATTATGATGTCTTGATGCGGCATGATATTATAATGTGTTAAACGATGTTGTGACATGGATGGCATGCTATTCATATCATTATGAAATGCGTTTATGTTATTATGCGTGTTCTTATACATGTTTAATTGCTTACACATGTTATATAAGCATGTTATACTTTTATGATTTGATATGTTATGTTATGGTGGTGTGTTACCACATGTTGGTTTACGCTGTGATATGTACGATATGAGGCAATGTTAAGTTATGACATGCATTGATATGCTATACAGTGGCCACGCATTAGCATAGACGGCGGGACCTTCTTTGGGACCTCGTGGGGCCGCCACTTATTTCGAGAACCCTAGGGGTCCAACGGCCGTGGCCACCAGGTGCCCTTTCCTTGTCCATCGCATATGTTCTGGCCCAAGTTTTCTTGCGACGGTGTCGAAGCTTGGACACCATGCCCGACAACAGCGGCCGTCGGGTTCACTTCACAGATGCTACAAAACTCGAGGCGATATTGCGTGAGCATGTTGTTTCTCCTACCTTCATTACTTACGGGACAAGGCCGAATGAAGACAAGCTTACTTCGAGTGCGATTGGATTTCTTATTTCGAGAGCATCGTTTCTACGTGATATTGAATTGGCCACGCCGAATATGTCGCTGCGAGAGACTACCGCCAGGGATGCTTTCAGAGCGCTTGTGAAGTCCAAGGCCGTCGAGTGGGGATTCACGCCAGAGTGCGCAACCTCGTGGGCCGACGACCGTGCGAAGATGTTACTTTCGATGCTGAGGCTGTGGGAGGTCAATTCGATCTCGATCCGATTCGCGAGCTCTGATCGCGATCTCAATCGGCTGATCGGAAGTCGCACGTCGATCGTCGCGCCCCGATCGTCGGAAATCCGATCGTCGAAGCTCGAATCGCGCTCTGGCCGATCGTCGGTCGTCGCGATCGCGATCCTGTTCCGATGGTCAAGCCCCTGGTCGTCGCGCCTCGGATCCCAAGGCCCTAGGTCGCTGAGATCGATCTCTCGCGTTCCGATCGTCGTGTGTTTGAGCATCGCACATCGGATCTGCAGGTCGACGCGCGATCGATCGTCCAGCCCCGTTCAGGCACATGTACGACCCGATTCGGCGAGAGAAACAGGGTGAGGCTTCGGAGTGGATGCAGAAATTCAGGGACGCACAACAGATCGTGACATTCGACCCCGTGAGCGGCACGGCCCAGAGGACTCTAGATGGGCAGATCCTTCGATCAGTTGTTCCCTTACCCATGGCTGATGCGTCGCCGATGCATCACTGGTTCCCAGCTGAAGCATCGCCGCTGCATCGCCGCTGCATCGCCGCTGCATCACCGCTGCGTCGCCGTTGCATCGGGGCACTGCTCGAGATGTTACGCGATCCATCGAGGACGAAACCTGGCGAGCGCATCCCAGAAACCTCCAGTGACATCTTCGACTCTTCCGACGGGGCCCCAATGAGCCTCATGCGGGCGCGCTTCAGCAGCGACGGCAGCGTGCACATCATGCGGAACTTGACGAAGTCTGAGTTTGATAACAGGCCAGGGTTGCAACGCATGCCCGCCACCCATCGCCCGCTCCACCCCCCTCGCCTCATGACTCACTCCTCTCCCCCCTGCTCGCCTCGCTCACTCCCCTCCACTCTTCCCAACTCCACTCCGCTCCCGCGCTCCACTCCACTCTACTCCCCGAGTCACCTGACGGGGGTTGCGGGCCTGCGATTGCATTCATTATAGGGGGGGTCGCCGACGTGCCGATGACGGGTCCTCGGGTGGCAAGGGCCGCAAGAGCGCCGCGTCCAGCGGCGAGGGCCGCAAGAGCAACGCGGGAGAGGGTGGCGGCAGCGACAGCAGGAGCAGCGGCGGCGACGGCAAGGCGAGCAATATCAAGTTCACATGCATCAGAGACCACGACGTTATCCGAGTCGAGGTAAAGGACCTGGACCCAGGCAACCGAGGAGTTGTCATGAAATGCAACGGCAGCCAACGCATCCAGATGGCCTTCAAACACATGCCTGAGTGCGAGGCGCGTTTTTCTTTCGTTGATCCTTGATGCTCCTCATCGTTTGTCTACCTCCCCTCTCTTCGATCTCTTGTCCTCCTGCCGCCTCCTCCAGTCCAGGCCATCCCGTGGTTGATTAAGCAGGCCGAGTCGTATGCGATGGGGGAGCAGACGATCGAGGACATCAAACGGGCCAAGAAGGATATCGACAGCGCTCGCACGGCTGTCACAAAGAAACCAGCAGCATCGGATGGTTCGCTGATCAAGAGGCCCGCTGCTGCAGGAAAGGTCGGCGAGGATCAAGAGGAGGAAGACGATGAGGAGGATCGCGTGCTCAGGAGGCCCGCTGTCAGCGCGACAGGCGACGAAAAAGGAGAGGACAGCGAGGATCAAGAGGATGAAGACGAGGACGAGGCAGAGATCGACGAGGAAGAGGCATAGGAAGAAGAAAAGAAACACGACGAAGAAGAGGAAGAGGAGGCGAGCGACGAAGAAGAGGATGCACTGCCCGTGCGAAAGCGGCCAGCAATGAGGAGGCCCGCAGCAGTCCAGAAGAGACCAGCGATGAAGAAGCCTGCGGCAGTGAAAGAGACACTGGAGGCTGAGAACCAGACAGAGGATGAGGAAGAGGAGGAGGAAGAGGATGCCGCGGCAAACACAGAGGAAGCGGAGGACGAGGCAGAGGCGCAGGAAGAGGAGGAGGAGGAGGACGAGGAAGAGGAGGACGAGGCAGAGGCGCAGGAAGAAGAAGAGGAGGGCGCAGGCGCGGCGAGGAAGAGGTCAGCTGCTGGTGCCGCTGCGGAGGCCCCGATGCCGAAGCGCTCGAACGTCCAGGCATCACTAGTTGAATAGGGGGAGGAGGTAGCATCGGTGATGCGTCAGCCTTGCGTCGGCGATGCGTCGACGATCTCGGGTCGGCAATGTGCCAGGCGCGTCGGCGATGCATTGCCATTGCGCCGACGGTTGTTGCATTGGCCTTGCATCGACAACGTTTAGCGATGCATCAACATCGGTGATGCGTTGGTCTGGCATCGGCGATGCGGCAGCGATGCGTCGGCGATGCGTCCAGCGATGCATCTGGCGTCTCCGGTTGATGCGTCGGCCTTGCATTGGCGGGGTTGACCGATGCATCGGCAATGCGTCGACGAATGCCGTGATTATGCGTCCTCCAAGGCTGAGCAGCCGCGCGAGTCGGAGACCGTCGTGCAGGCCACTGGCGCAGCGCCACCCGCTGCGGTCGAGGTGATCGAGACAATCGAGCCGCCAGGAGAGTCGCTCTTGGACCAGGCAGTTCGTTTGCTCCAGTAGGCTTGTGATGTATAAACGAGCAAGGTCGACTCACGACCATCTCATTAATCTTGGTGCCGCGTTTGGACTGTAACTTTGTTTCGGCTTCAGTGGCTGGGCCAAACTTCAGTAGTCAGTGCCTCAGCTGTGCTTTCCAAAACACACGTCAGGCTCCCGTGGTACCCACCTCCTCCCCCCCGCCCCCTCCTCTCACCTCAGGCCCACTCGGACCAATCTCCTCCTCGAACCTCGATTATATCGGTGCCTCGTGAGGGCGCCTGCAGCTCTCAAAGATATTCCCATTCAAACGCGCAAGTCTGGACCCAGTCGGGCCCTTCTCATCCTCGCGCCTCGCACCCTTGAGTAAATTTCAGTCTGAGACCCCGCGGCATTGATGAGACCCTGCATGACAAGAGGCCACCCCGCCCCAAACCCAGATATTCATGACAAGAGGACCCCCCGCCCCTAACCCTCGCCCGCATATCGACGCCGATTTGGCCCGAAGCTTCTTCCAGGTCAATGAGTTACGAGCCGCTTTCGAGGTCAGCCCTCAACCTCTGGGTGCGTGGAGGTTGGGCGATGCCAGTCGCTCGTGAGAACGAGCGGGAGCCGATCTTCCGGACGCCGACCCCTCCCCGCCGCGGCCGCAGCAGCAGTCCTGGAAGCCCCATGGGGTGCGACTCGTTCGAAACGTGTGCGCAACTTCCTCACTTTGGATCGCCTGGCGGTCGGGGGAGCATAATCGACGCTCTTCCTCTCCTCAAGGAAAGATCAGGGATGTCATGAAGACGAAGTCGAGATCTCGAGGGGGAGGGGATCGGAGGGGGATTGAGGAGGAGGAAAAGCAGCAGGAGGAAGAGGAAGATAATGGAATTGGATGCGGGGATAGAAGAGGATAAGGATTGGGAGGATCGAGAGAGGAGGGGGGGGAGGAGGAGGAGGAGGAGGAGGAGGAGGAGGAGGAGGAGGAGGAGGACGAGGGAGGAGGAGGAGGAGGAGGAGGAGGAGGAGGAGGAGGAGGAGGAGGAGGAGGAGGAGGAGAGGAGGAGAGGTGAGACGAGTTTTGGCGCCCGCAGGTGGAGACGGCTCCCAGGCGCTCGAGCCGCCGCCCAACTCCTTGCTCGATGCGCTGCAGGGTCGAGGCGCCGAGATCCCCGTCGTGGATTTGATCGACGACGAGTCCCAGGGAAGCAACGCCCTCCTTGGCGCGGCACACCCCGACGTCGACGCCATGTTCGCTGTTCAGAGCACCGAGAACGGCTCGAAGCATGGCGGCAGAGAGCAGTCGCGGTCGCGTTCGCGGACGCCGCGATCGACGGCGATTGATGATACAGAGCGGCAGTTGGACTCGGTGGGGGATCCAGAGCAGCAGGTGGACTCGGAGGTCGTTCCAGAGCAGCAGGTGGACTCGGAGGTCGTTCCAGAGCAGCAGGTGAGCGCGGGGGTCGCTCCAGAGCAGCAGGCAGGCGCAGAGGTCCCAGAGAAGCACGTGCTCGCAGGGGTCGCTGACGGATCCCCAGCAGAGCTTGCTGGCGGCTCCGAGGGCGCAGCAGGTGGAGTTCCAGCGCAGGCTGACGCAGCAGGAGTGCCGCGGAAGGAGGCAAAGGAGGCAGAGGAGACAGAGGAGGCGGGCAGCGCCGCGGCGAAGGAGGAGACGACAGGAGAGCTCGCAGTGGAGCAGCCCGAGGCGTCAGCCAGGAAGAAGAAACGCAGGACGAGGAGCAGAAAGGCACCAGGAGATCTCGTGGAAGAGCAGCCAGCCGCCGCTGGCGATGGAGGTCTGCCAACCGACGACGCGCCAGTCCAGAAGAAGAAACGGAAGAGGAGGGGCAAGGCCGCCAAAGTGGCCAAGGCGGCCAACGCGGCCAAGGCTGCCAAGGATGAGGAGGAGCGGGGCGAGGATGGAGTCTGGAACGAGAACTGGGACGGTGATCAGGTCTGGTATGACGCTTGGAAAGACGAGACCGAGTGGCACGGCGAGGACGAGCCCGAGGCAGACGGCGCCACTGGAGAGCTTGAAGAGCCAGCCAAGAAGTCCAAGCGCCAGCGCAAGCACCGCTCTAAGGCCACGACTACCCCGCGTACAGTGACCGCTGATGAGGAAGGGGGTGCGTTTGGTAGCCACCCGACGCCAGAGGGAACGGCTGATGGCGGAGCTACATCGAGCGCAGCTTGCACGCCTGTGGCGAGGCCTGCTTCGAGCGCTGCTGTCACGCCGCCCAAGACCATCGCTGACTTGACGATGCAGACTGCGAAGGATCGGCTCAGTCAACTGCCCGCGGAGCACGGCTTCAAGCCAGCCGTCGCGTCCGGGGTCGAGAGCGGCAAGGGCGTCAAGGCGGCGGAGGGCAGGCAGGCCCGCAGGAACTCGTCTGGCGACAAGGAGCTGATCGATGCAGTGGAGAACAACAACGGGCTCTTCAACGCCAGGAGCATGGTCGGCTGGAGGTTTTCCCGCGCCCTCAAGAAGGACAAGAAACTTCAACGTGATCTGGCACGCGCCGCAGATCCCGACACGGCCAAGGCTTTGGAGGAGGGAGGAGGAGGAGGGAGGAGGGAGGAGGAGCAGGAGACCTTCCTCATTTAATGAGGAAGGTCAGGATCAGGAGGAACAGGAAGATTGGATTTTTAACATAACACTGTGAACATTGGTTCGGCAGGCGGAGTGGGCGAAGAAGATGTACAAGGGCGCCGTGGCCCGATACAGGACGCACTGCACGTCGCACGCCGACGAGTGGCTGAAGAGCGGCAAGTTGCGCTCGTTCTTGAAGCTCTGCGAGCGCGAGGGAGGCCCGACAGGGCATCGCGATCCAGAGACCCTGCGCAACATGAGCATCCACTGCATGCGCTGCGTGGAGCTCGGGTTTCCGTTCCTGCAGCGCGACCCGATCCACGGCGGGATCAAATTCATGCACTTCGAGATCGAGTACAACGAGCGCTTTGCGAAGCGCTGGCAGGACTCCCAGCTCCTACATCCTCCTCCTCCACCATCCTCAATCATCATCCTCCTCTGCTCCTACTCGCTTTCTTCTCGACTCTTTCTCCTCCTCCTCCCTCCTCTCGCGACCTCACCCTCCCTTTCCGACCTTCTCCTTTTCCTCATCCTCCTCCTCCTCTCTTCCTCATCTCGTCCTCCCCTTCTGACCTTGGCCTCCTCCTCCACTACATCATCCTCCCTCCTCCTCCGATCCTGCTCCTTCTCCTCCTCCGATCCTGCGGCCCCTCCTCCTCCTCCTCCGCCCCCTCTTCTCCTCCTCCCCCCCCCTCCTCTCGTCCTCAGCCTCCCCCTCCCTCCGATCTTCCTCCTCCGACCTCCTGCTCCCGACGAGGAATTCCAGAGGCAGAACGCCACCGTCGAGCAGGACATCCAGTCGAAGATCAGCCTGGTGCAGGACGCAGTGGTCAGAGGCGCGCCGCTGCAGCTGGGCGTGGCGACGGCGAGCTCGGCGGCACAGCCCGAGCAGACCGAGAAGGAGCAGGTGCCTTCGAAGCGCAGGAAGCGCTCCGCTGTGCAGCAGCCTGAGCCCACGGAGCCGCCTGCTGCGCCCGCGCCGAGTCCGCCTGCGACCCAGCCGAGTACGCCTGCGGAGCAGAAGAAGCCCAAGGAGCGCTCGCTTGCCCAGACCAAGCTGGCCGAAGCACGGCGCGCAATTGCTGCCCTTCAGTCTGGCTGCTCGCAGGCAGTTTCGCTCCTGGCCACGATCGACAGCGAGCCAGAGTGGGCGTGGGCCAGGACAAACGAGGTGCGCGGGCGCATCAGTCAGCTCAAGGAGGGCTTGGAATGCCAGGCGAAGAGCACCAGTTTGGGCAAGGCGCTGATGAACGGCGCGAAGACGGCCGAGGCCGCCGTCCGGGGAGGAGGAGGGAGGGGATGAGGAGATGACAGGAGGAGGAGGAGGAGGAGGCGAGAGGAGGAGGAGAGGAGGAGGAGGGAGGAGGAGGAGGATCGAGGAGGGAGGAGGAGGAGGATGAGGAGGAGGAGGAGGATTCGAGGAGGCTGAGGAGGAGGAGGAAGCTGAGGATGGAAGAGGAGGAGGAGGAGGAGGAGGAGGAGGAGGAGGATGAGCGGCCCGACCATCCCCCCATCCCGCCCCAAGATCGTGAAGACTATCGCCTCCGACGACGCGATCATCCAGCAGGCTTCCTTGATCGACGCTGGCTGCAAGGCGCGGCATCTGCTGCAGCTGCCGCCCCTCTCCTCGACCTGCTCCTCCACTGATCCTGCTCCAGCTCCTGCTTCTGTTCCTGCCCCTGCCCCTGCCTGTATCCTGCGCCAGGTCCTCCTCCTGTCTGAAAGCTGGGTCGAGAGGGCTTCGAGGAATGAGAAGTTAGGTTTTTGTTAGGATAACGTTCGATGATGTCGGTCCTCGCACATATCCCCACCGCCCGAGGCTGACGTCAACGCTCTGTGCGATGCCCTGACGAACACCCTGGCGAGCCACACGAGCCTCACCAAGGCATCAGGTGGTGGCAAGGCCGCCAAGACCAAGAAGCCCAAAGCGAAGTGATCCATTGACCTGCTCGACGTGCGATCGACGTGCTATGGTCGCTCTGATCTTGATGCCGAGAGCACGGGGACCGATGCACGCAGGCCCAGGGATGCTTGCGCATCGAGTGTGAATTTAAACTTCGGCACGGAAGGGGTGAAGGGAAGGATGACAGGGAACAATCCAGCAATGGCCTAGCACGGTTGACAGATCGCAGCCAAACTCAGCGGACATCCTGATTCACGGTCGTTTCTGGCCGGAAATGCATCGGAGATCCATCGCTGACGTATCGCTGATCTGTCGCTGAACATCGCCGACCCCCCCCCTCGGACCCTGATTTTTTACAGGGTTTCGTGCGCTGACCCATCGCTGATGCATCGCTGATCTATCGCTGACTTCCGCTGAGTTTGCCCGTGCGAGCGGCTGGAGGCTGCAGGCGCCCGTGCTTCACGTGCGGTCGGCCGCCGAGTGCAGTTTGCATCACAATACTTTCTTCTTGCTGCAGAATGCAGCACGCGGACCGTGGAGGGGCATGCATTCTTATAGAGTCGGCCACGCGCGAGTGCATGCCGTGCACTTGCGAGATTTTTTGAGCCGATCTGTTGCATCTGCCTGTCGCGCTTAGCGATCGGTACCTCTTGCAATTTCTGTGAGTCGAAGGGTGCCCATTCTGTCGGGGGGAGACTCATATTTCATGCTGGGCGCCTGCACAATGGCATCACATTCATTGAACGCCGATCGCCAGCAAGCCTAACCTAATCATAATCGCAACCTGTCAACGCAGTTGCAGCTGCTCGGCTCAAGAGCGCGAGTATGCCACCCTTTAAACGCCGCAGAACACACCGTACTCTAGAAGGCGCTGACGCCAGCATAGAACACCAACAAGAGAATGGCGCTCGTCTCCTCGATTTCCTCTTGGGCATGTACTGCGAAGGGAAGCCGATGTCCGGGGCCGCTATGACCACTATTTGTTATTTGGCGTCAGAGGCTGGTGCGAAAGGTGATCTTAGACACTGGGGCGTTGCCCCCTCAGATTCTCCATCTGGTATTGGTTCGAAGAAAATGCGATCAAACATCCGAGAGTTGGCAGCCGCCGACAGAGTTGAGCCGAGTACGTTGATGCTTCCTGGGTATAATTCAAAAAGCAAGCGCCACGAGCTCGTGGCCCTTCGCGTGCGACCACCGCATGAATCGTTGTCGTCTGAGCTTTTCGCTACGACCTCGTCATTCGAGGATTTGCGGGCCACAAATTTTCATAGAGTCGCTTGAGCCCTCGCGACTGTGAGAGTGGAGGGAACAGGAGGGAAGAGGATATGAGTAAAGGACGCATGAGGAGGATGGGAGGAATGTGGAGGATTGGGGTACGTGGAATTCCCTCTCGAGGAGTACCGCGCTCAGTTGAGCAAGCGAGAGTTCGCACCCTCGTGGAAGCGGCACCCTATTGTACGAGCTGGCGAGGCTTCTGGGGAAGTAGTGGCACCCCTAGCTCTGTTCATCGATGCTGCGTCATGCGGGGGGACAGCATCTGCAGGCATCAGGGCACGACCTAACCAGCGTTTGGGCGGTTTCGCGGGCTGTTCGTTCACACGTGTTCTGTTTCGTTGGGGCCGCGGGGACCGACGATAAACACCTACCACCAAAACGCAGAGCGCGGTTAGGTCGGGCCCTGCAAGGCAGATTACGCTCGTTCGTTGTGCTGTCTTGTTGCAACATCATCACTGGTCGCAGGCACGTTATCGCAGTGATGCGAAAGCAAGTGTCCTGTCGATGTGGGTGTGGAGGGTGGTGCAGCATGTACGCATTGTTATCCTACGTTCGGTGGTCCCTCGATGCCCTTGCGAATGGTCTTTGGCCCCGACGGTACTCGGGCGTCCGGGGGGGGCAAACGACGAAACCTGGAGAACCTCTCGGGTTCCTTGGGGCAGTTGTCAACATCCTGTCCGATTGGGAGGGGGTCTGCCAGTACATGGGCGTGCCGACGTGGCAGAGCAATCAGTATCCATGCCCATTGTGCACGACGGCATCAGCATCGATGCATCAGTACAGGTGCGCGCTTTTGTTTCTTTCGATTTTCACCTTGGCTTTCTCTGGCCGAGTTAGACGCGCTAGCGTGATCGAGCAGCGATCGAGATGTAGGTGGGCAGGGGGTGCTGCGATAATTGCGTCTCGACTGTCGCGGCCCCGTCCTCCCTCCTCGACCAGGGCCCTCTCTCCTGCTCGAGATCCCCCCGTTCCTGGACCCACCGATCTTCACCTCCTCCTCATCCTCCTCCTCTCGATCCTCCTCCTCCTCCTCCTCCGCCTCCTCCTCCTCCTCCTCCCCATCCTCTTCCGCCGCCCTTGGCCCTCCTCCACTCCGCCGACCGACCGATTCCCATCGAAGGGTCGTGAAACATCGCCACCAGCACGCGCCCCTGGGAACTTCACCCTGAGGATGCACACGAAAAGGCGTGCGTGAGAGCAGAGAAATGGGTTGCACTCAACACGCAAGAGGAGCTTGACAAACTGATCGAACACGGCAAATTCATGTTCGACAAACGGAAGAAGAGCACGAAAAAGAATGCGGGAGGAGGGCTGCGCATCACCCAAAAGGTACCATGTCTGAACTGTGAGTCTTGCAACCTGTGTGCTGGCGACAGATTGCATCCCCAACCCACTTTGCCCCAAACTGCCCAATGCGCTTCTCTGAAGTTGCCCACTCGGATCCGTTTCTGGAGAACTTCTTGTGAATCACTGATGAAATATCGAAATCCGCTGTTTGGGTTGGAGATCGGATTAACGCTGGTGGGGCAGTATTCGATCGATTACTTACACACGGTCTGCCTTGGCGTCATGGGGTTTATCGTCTTAGAATGTTTCTGGCGCTGTGTGGGGTCAGTGCACATTGGCGGCCTGGGAGATTTACTCACGCGCCAAGTCCAGGCGCCCTAGTTCGATCAAAGAGAGCGCACGGAAACCATCGCGGCGCTCAGGCGTTCATGTTGCCCCCGCAGGCCCGCATTCTCCAACCGCCCAGTGTAAATTGCCGCGGGATGCGGATCAGCGGGAACAAATGATCGTCGGTGCCGCGATTGCGTCCGGGCGCCTGTCCTTTTGCTGCGACCATCGCCGTCAGGCAGCTGGGTGGATCTCAGCGCAGCTTGCGCGGTGGTACGGGGCGCAGAAGAAGCTCGGCCATCGCCCGAGCGAGGTTGGCAATCTGCAATATCAGATGTTTGGATCCCAGGCGAAGCCCGCAGTAAAAACAAAGGCCCATGAAACCAAATGGTTGTTCAAGTTTTTCGTGGACGAGTTTTTACCCCGTCATGCCGTGCATCTGCGCAAGGGCCGAGAACTCCTGACGACAGCATCCTATTTGTTTCAGTGGGACACGTTTTTAGATCGCCAACCTGACGTGCTAGATGAGGGCGCATGCGCTTCGCTCCAGGAGTTGAGCCTCATGCACCTCGTTAGCTTAGAGGCAGCAGACGTTGCACGCAAGCCGAAACACCACTTGTTCCTCCACATGACCGAACGGACCCACCCTTACTTCCTCTTCCTCGTCCTCCTCCTCCACTGCTTTTCCTTCTCCCCCTCCACGTCCCGTCTCCTCGATCCGCCTCCTCTTCCTCTCCCGCCTTCATCGACCCCTTCCTCAGACAGAGCCCTCTACTTGCGACAAGCTGGCGGGTGGCCTGCTCCATCTCGAGCGTTGACGTCCGGGGGGTCGGCGGTGTACCTCCAGCGGCCGCGGGTGGCGCGGGCGCAGACGACATTCGAGTTCCTGGGTCGTGATTTCGAGGCTTGGACCGCCGTGGGGACGAGGTTGCCCGCGGGGCCCCCATCGGCACATTGGAAACGCGTATATAGTTGGATGATGACGAGTAGAGAGGAATGAGGAGGCGAGGAGGGGGAGGATGTCTATATTGTTTTTTCGTTGCCATGTTTCGATCAGAAAGCCAGCCACCGTGAGTTCATGGAGTGCTCCTGCCCTTGAGGTGGGAACGTTTTCATGAGGGGTACTCTGAGTTTCTGCGGAGGGACGGTCCGAACTGAACCCCGTGGTGGGCGGCCACGTGGCGCCGAAGGCGCTTGCGCCGACGGGCGAGGTTGACCCCCTCTCGAAGGTTGTGGGGCGGTGGGCCCTCCGCGGTTACCAAAAACTCAAAGTGGTTGTTTTCGCCCTCCCCCCTCCCCCTTCAAACTCAGGATCCATGACATGGGGCATCCTAGAACCTACGCTACCTGGAGGGACGAGAGTCTCAACTCGATGCTCTCTCGGATCGCCGAGCAGTCGTCGTTCGGCGATTTCGACGAGGGGGTTTGGGACAGAATCGATCTCCAGAAACAGTTGGGCTTGGGGACATCGAGGTCGTCGAAACGGTGACGGTGCTTTGGCTCGGGATTCTACTGACACGTTGTGCGCCTTTTTTCGAGCAGCTACGCCCTTCATCATGGCGAGGGCGCTGGTGCTCACCATTTTGTATTTCAGCGGCGTGAACTCGCTGCTGGGCACGGCGGCCGCCCCCCTGCGCGTCGTCAGGTTGGCTGACTCGTTCTCGCAGGCACACCCCGAGCCTTCCAGCCTTGAGGTCGCGGCGTTCGCTCTCCGAACGGCCGAACGTTTGTTGCAGCAGGGCTGTGGGAGGAGGAGGGAATTAACCTATCTATATAGATGGCGCCCAGTGGTTGATGGACCCTGGGGATGAGGGGCCCAGAGGTCCGAGGGTCCAGGGGCCGACGGGGCGGTTGATGAAACCAGGAGGGCGATGAGGAGAAGAAGGAGGAGCAAGATCGGAGGGGGAGGAGCAGCAACAGCAGCATGAGGAGGAGGAAGAGGAGTCCCATGGGCGCATGTGCAATTCTGCTGCCCTTAGTGGCATCATTGGTGGGAGGACAAGGAGAAGGATGAGGATCAAGGAGGAGGAGGAGGATCGAGGAGGAGGAGGAGGAGGAGGAGGTGGATGAGGAGGATGAGGAGGAGGATCCGAGGAGGACGGCAGAGGAGGAGGAAGAGGAGGAAGAGGAGGACGAGGAGGAGGAGGAGGAGGAGGAGGATGTAGAGGAGAGAATGAGAGGTCAGACCATAGGAGCAAGAAGGGGGAGGAGGAGGAGATGAGGATGAGGAAGAGGACGAGGAGGATCCAGGAGGAGGAGCGATGAGGAGGAATGAGGACGAGGATGATAGAGGAGGGTGACCCGAGCCCAGGCACCTACCGAAGGGACTTACATTTTACGCACATCTTCGCTGGGAAGGATGCTCCTGGCACTGCATTGGCTCGGAAAGGATACAGGTGCTCGTCGTTTGACAAGGCGCATGATCGTTCGGAAGACATCACCACAATCGCTGGTGTGCTATGGGCCACGGTGTTGTGCATGCGCGTTATGCGCCGTGGTGCGGTGATGGTGGGCATCGAATGTACGAATTTCTGTTGGTTCTCGAGGGAGACTAGCGGGCGCTCAATCGATAGATGCGGTAATGATTCTCGTGAATTTGTCGTTGCGGGTAACATGATGTGTTTTTTCATGAGTTGGATCGGCGTTCTCTTGATGAGCAGGGGAGTCCACTACATATACGAGAATCCCGTGACATCCGTTCTAGACGAACACCCTCACATGGAGATTCTGGCAAGAGTGACGAAGCACCATCGGTTTTGCACGTGGCTTGGCGCTTTCTCTCGGGCCAAGGCCGTGTGTAGGCCCAAAGCTGTTCACTTGACCACGACGTTCCCCGTGGATGTAGCTAAGAGGCATCTCAAACGCCCCAGGCCGCCCCATCTTTGGGGCGTTGCAAGTGCCCGCGGCGTGGCGTGGAGGCGCTCCAAGAACGGGTCGTTCGAAGGGCAAGCTGGCCTCAAGGCCACTGGCGTGTATCCGCCTCAGTTTGGCACGCGTTTTGCCAATTTGTTTCAAGAGGTGTTTTCTGGCGGCGCCTGATTTTTTCAACGGGTGCAACGCTGAGGGGAGCCATAGGGACGATGCCACGGGGTAGTCGAGGAGGGGTCTGAGGAGCTAGGGGAAGAGGTGAGGACGACACCGCACGATAGTCACGACGTACGCATGCACCCCTGGCACCGTCAGGCTGAGGCCGATGTACTTTTTTCCGCTCTCCCCGCGCTGGTGGGGCACCATAGGCGCTTGAGGCCGAGAGCGGTCGAGACCGCTAACGAGATCCAGGCGCAAGTGATCGATGCAACGCTACCTTTTTTTCTTCCTCCTCGATCCTCTTCCTCCTCGTCCACCTCCTCACTCCTCCTCCTTCTCCTCCTCGCCTCGACCCTCCTCATCCCCCTTCTCCTCCTCGATCCTCCTCCCCCTCGAATCCGTACGGTCTTATCCTTCCTCCTCCTCCTCCTCCTCCCCCCGATGCATCGACAACGCTACGTGACTCGCGCCCGCTGCCCATCGGCGCTTCCGGACCGATGCACCGATGCCGCATCGCTGATGCATCGCTGATTCATCGCTGACGCATCGCTGACGCATCGCTGAACGCCGCTGCTGCTTCGCCGACGCATCGCCGACGGCGCCGACGCGAGTGATCCCATCTCCAGCAACGCTCGTTTCAGCCGCAGTGCCCTAGCGTCCGTGCATCTGTCCTTCCTCCCTCCACTCGATCCTCAGTGGATTCAGTGCCGTTTCACATCAGCTGCGCCAGTCGGTGACTGTACTTTTCGGCATGAGCCAGCACCAGGGCTCGAGCAGCTTCCCTAACGCCGCCCAGGTCATGACTTGGAAAACTAATGCTTGACACGATTACCAATAGGGGGCCGTCCCGACGTCCATCGCCAAACCATTCCCCCTCAGGGAAGCGTTTCGCAGACTCCTGGACCCGACGGGGCTTTTTCCAAATGCACTCTGATCCACCTCTGATCCTTCTCCCTCCATCTCCTCTCTCTGTCCCTCCTCCTCCTCCTCCTCCACCTCCTCATCTACCTCCTCCTCGATCCCCCCCCCTTCCCCTCCCCTCCACCCTCCCATCGCGTCACCTCCAAGAGGAACACGAGGTGAAACGCAACCCCGATTTAGAATCCAGTCTGATGATGATGATGATGCTGATGATGCTGTTGATGATGATGATGATGATGATGATGATGATGACGATGATGATGATGCTGATGATGATGGTGATGATGATGGTGAAGATGGTGATGATGATGATGATGATGCTGATGATACTGATGATACTGATGATACTGACGATGATGATGATGCTGATGATGATGCTGATGATGATGATGCTGATGCGGGAGCGGATGAGAACCCTGGGAAGCACGGCGGCGACGCGCAACAGCGCAATGGTTAGCAATCCGACGAGCCCGCTCGGGCGCAGGCATTCTCCCCACTCCTCCTCGACCTCATTATCTTTCCTCCTTCGTGCGGGCCCGATATTATTTGCAGCGCTGCTCGGGGTGGGTCGTCGGGGTGCGCGCCCGCGCGCAGGGCATCGCCAATCAATGCATCGCCGAGACGTCGCAAGCGGCAGGGGGGGGGATGAAGAAGGATAAGGATGAGATGAGATAGTAGAAGGATGAGGAGACGGCGGAGGAGAGGGAAGGGGACACGCACGAGGGAGGAGGAGGAGGGGCCAGGCGAGGAGAAGGGTATAGGCGAGGAGAAGGATGAGGATAAAGAGGAGGAGGATGAGGAGGGGGAGGATCAGGCGAGGATAAGGATCAGGAGGAGGAGGAGGATCAGGCGAGCAGAAGGAATGAGGAAGAAGGCCTGGATCAATCATTCTAGAGCTGTCGGCGATGCGGTGGCAAACCCCTGTTCGCTCGATACTTCCTTGAATGTCTGTTTCGAGATCTGGATGCTTGCAACGTTTACACGGATCGAGGGCATTAGCTACTTGGAATGGCGTTCTCGCCTCAGCGCCGCGGACATCCAACCGATCACCCGACCAACCAACCGCAAGAAAAGGAACGCAGCTCGCAAGTCAGTCAAGCAATCAACACATCAACCGACCAACGCACCAACAATTTAATCCTTCCCTATCAGCCTTCAATTTCTTGATACAATGTTACTGCTTCGCTGTGGCCGTTTGGAAATAACGCGCCGCGCATGGCAAACGCGAACAATCGTGCCTCTGCGATGCCGAACTTTGAACAAGCGGTGCGGTGCCTCGAAACGCGTGCGGTGCGTGCCGAAATTTGAACAGCGCGTGGAATATACAAATTGTTTCTCTAAGTATTAACAGAATGTGCGTTTCATATATGGTGTATACATGCAATCACATAAAACGTGGGTGTACATACATGCATGCGAAATCTATCTGGTACGTGTGAGATCAACGTGTTCTGTCTACATATGTACATATATTGTATAGTGTAACATATATATATATATATATGTATACATGGTTATATCGTGTATTGTAGATCGTAGTACACATATGTCACCTATACTGAATAGGCCATAAATACACGTGTGAAGTATGCAATGTATACATATATGGGATGTAAAAATGTATGAACTATGAGTTGTAGTACAAACTCTTGAACATCTACATAACACGCGGTCGCTTAAAATAGTCCGGCGACGTTCGCTTTAGTCCGGCGCGCTTAACTTAGTCCGGCGCCGCCAACTTAACCAACGCCGACCTCCTGGGTTCGGGGCCCCCGCCGCCGACCGGCGCCGACGCGCTCCTGTCGCCGCCGGGGGCTGACGACTCCGAGCGCCCCGGGGCCGCGCCGGGTCTCCAGGCGCGCCTGGCTGACCTTGTGTCCCGCCACCGCCTCGAGGCCGTGGAGGGCGCGCTGCTGCGGCGGCGCGACGTGGCAGGCCTGGAGCTCCTCCGCGACCTCCGAGCCCCAGGCACCGACCACGGTTGGCTTTGGGAGCTCTCCGGGGCGCTGGCGCTTCTCCCAGAGGAGTTCCTGATCGCGGCGCGCCTGCGCGTTGGCGCCCCGGTCTACGCGACCCCTGGCGCGTGCTCCCGGTGCGGCGCGGAGCGGGGCATCGACGGGGCGCGCGCCGCGCGTTGTGCCCCGGGGGAGTCCACGCGCGGCCGCAACAGAGTGCGGGACGAACTCCTGGCGCTGGCCCCCCTGTCCGACGGGGCCGCTCGGTCGGAGGCGCCGGGCCTCATCGAGGCCGCGCCGCTTCTCCGCCCGGCCGACGTGCTCACCGCGGCTGCCTTCGGCCGGCTGACGGCGCTCGACGTGGGCATCGTGGCGCCGCGCGCGGCCGGGGCCGGCGAGGATGCTGCCGCCGCCCGCGTGGTCAGCAAGGTCGGCAAGTACGCGCCGCACCTGCCGGCGCTGGCGGCCGACGGGATCGCTTACCGGCCGCTCGTCTGGACAACGCGGGGCCGCCCGCGCGAGGATGCGTCGGCCGCGGTCGCGCCCATGGCAGCCGCAGCGACGAGGCGCCTGGGCGCGCCCTCGCACGCGCTCGCGGCGCGGGCCCGCGCCGCCATCGGCGCCGCGATCTGGCACCGAGCAGCGCGCATGGTCGGCGCATGCGGCCCGCGGCTCGCCCGAGGGGATGTCGGTGCCCTCCTGCCGGGGGCCGGGGCCGCCGGTGCAGGCGGCGCCGCCGACGCCGCCTCCGACGTCGATCCGCCCGCGGACCCCTCGCCAGCGGCGCTGTCCGACTCCTCCTCGTCCACCTCCTCGCCTGCCCCCTCCTGCCCGGCGTCGCCCGCTTCCCGCCCTGCCCGCCTGTCCCCCGCCCTTGACTTAAACGTTTGGGGGGGCGCGGCGGAGCCGGCAGGAGGCGAGGCGCTGGCGGGGGCGCTGGCTGGCGTGGCGGGCGAAGCGGACGCCGTCGCCGGCCTGGCTGGCACTGGCGGGCCCGCGGGGCCGGCGGGCCAGGTCGGCGCAGCCCTCCTGGGGGTCGGCGCAGCCGCGGGCGTCGCCGAGCTCGTGGCCGCGTTCGAGTCCATTGCGGGCGCGGTCGGCCCCGGGGGAGCCGGCGCGCCTGGCCCTGGCGACGCCGGAGGCGCTGCGGCGGAGGCTGCCGGCGATGCGGGCTGCAGCGCCGCCGCGGGGGCCGCCGGCGAGCCGGCGGGCGGGGGCGCCCGGGGCCCGGCCTGGTTTGCCGGCCTCCGACTGGCGCACGGGCGCGGCCCCCCGGCGTAGCCGCCGTGCTGCCAGGGCGTGGGCGTGGAGGACGAGGGGTGTGGAGTGGGGGAAAAAAAGCAGACTCAGGAGGATCTGCAACTCTGGCGTCGTAAAAATCAGGCGTAGGCGCTTTGGGGCCGAGCCTGGAGAATCGGTGCTCCGCCTGGGACAAAGCGTGAGCCCAGCCAGTAGGGTCGCCAATCAGAGCGAGCCAGGGCTGGGGGTCGAGGCAAGGGTCGGGGAGATCTCGCGTGCAGGGGAGGCCTCGCGAGCCCACTGCAGATCACTGGCCAACTGCTGATGATGATGATGATGATGATGATGATGATGATGATGATGATGATGATGACTTGTCCTGCGAACGTGTAGGGGTGCAGCACAGAGTCCGTTCTATTTCGCTCAAGCCTGTTTACGTTCAGGGAGCACCTGTACCTTCATGCGCCCCCATTCCCCGCAGGTTCCCTCGTGGGTGATCGTCTGCGCGTGGTGCACGGTGGACCCCTGGTGGCGGGGGCTGCTGCGCGGCGGCGGTGACGGGGGCCCCCCTGGACAGCCGCCTGCGGCGGCCCTGCAGGCCGAGGCGGCCTCGCGCGAGGCTGAGCGGGCAACACTCACTGTGCGCTCGTAGCCTCTCGGGCTGCTTGGAGGACGTCTCGAGGCTGCACGCGGAGGTCGCTTCGCTGGCATCGCAGCTGCGCGAGGTCCGCGCCCAACGCTCGGACGCGGGCTCGTTCTATGTGCATTCGATCGGACTGGTGTTGACGGGCATCCTCGCCCAGATTGTCATCGTCTATAGTCACTGTCGCGTTTGACATGGCGCTGCTGCCTCGTCTGCAGTTGTTCAGGTCGGAGGTGAGCGCCGCCGAGGCGGCGGTTTTTTTCAACGAGTTGTTGCCAGGCCGCGTCGTCACCTTTCACTATGACGACGACCGCGGTATCTGGCACGAGCGGATGCTGATCTGGCCCGCCGACGCGCAGCAGCCTCCTACGCAGTGGACCGTCGTGACGCCCGATGGCGACGTTTACGACGAGGAGATCGCCACGGGCGCCGGCGGCGACAGGCCGAACCTGGCCTCGTTGACGTTCGGCGCGACGCCTGTTCGCCAGCGGCCTGCTGGGCGCGTATACCGCTTCCGCGGCTACCCCACGGAGGCCGAGCTGCTGGACACGGTGCGCGCCGCCAGGCGGGATGCCCGCGCTGCTGGCCTCGACGTGGCGGAGCCTCCGCTCTTCGTACGCTGCGGTGACGTGTTGGGCGGCTCGTCGACGGTCAGCTTCGGTTTGTCCGTGGCTTCTACCGTCACCTCGGTCGCAAGGGCCCAGGGCACCCGCCTGCGGCCGCCAGCGCCGCGCCGCCGCGGGGGCCGCCCCTCCTGCCGCCGGCGCTCGCGCCGCTAGGGCTGAAGGACGAGGCCGACGACGGGGAGCCGCTCCCTGCAGAGGGCACCGCCACACCGCCGCCTGGGCCCGTCGGCGCCCGCGCGCTGGCAAGCGCGGAGGCGCCGCCGCCGGGCGTGACCTGGATTGCCAGCAAGACGGTGGTCGTCGAGATCCAGCGTGGTGATGAGATCTTGCCGATGACTGGGGACGCGGTCTGGGGCGAGAGCGGGCTCCGCGGCCTGCCCGCTGGCATCGTCGCGCCCATGGAGCTGGCGCCCGCGGCTTCCGCCGCCCCTCAGCCAGGTGAGGAGGTGGATGATGCGCGTCTCCTAGGCCGATTGACGAGGAGCCGCGAGGGGCAACGCCATCACGACTTCCGCGAGTCGGTGAGCCAGATGCGGTAGGAGGCGTTCGGCGATTCTCCCTTGTTTGGAGAGCGCAGCTACAAGTGGCTGCGCGAGTGCATCGTCGAGCACTGCGGCGCCCCGGACTGCCGTCAGACCAAGTGGATGAGCGAGCGCGGCTGCGCGAAGGACTCGGCGGCGGCCCACTTCCACGACCTCCTAGGGCTCTCGATCGAACTTACTCAGACTTACGACCAGGTCGGCGGGTCGAACTTGGCCCGCGTGGAGGTGGTCGCCCGTGCTTACCAGTTGGCGGAGGAGACCATGGGCAGCATGAAGATCGAGGGCGTCGAGCACTACATGGGGCGCTCGAAGCAGAGCGCTCGTCGCGGCGTCGCGGCGGCGCCAGGATCGGCGAAGTACGCGACGGAACAGTTGGCCACGGAGACCGAGATCCAGAAGCAACGGCGGAAGGCGCGCGAGGAGAAGGGCGCCTCCGCTGGCAAGAAGGGGCAGGGGTGGACTGGGCTCGGCGGACGGGAGGTCGCCCGGCCCGTCCGCCGCTTCACGAGAGCCGGTTTTGCCGGCCTACCACAAGCCCCTCCGCTGGTGGCAGGGCGCTGCCTTTGCTGTCCCTGCTGCGCCAGTTGCTCCGCGACCTCCGCCTGGACTATCCCGTTCGGTTCGGGCGCGCCTTCAACGCGGCCGGCTTCGCAGGGGAACGTACTCGGGACACCGCGGAGTGCCTCAACCTGCTTGGGGGTCACAACGCACCGCAGTGCGCGCCGGAGTGCCTCTCGCAGATGGCCGATCCTTTACATCGACGCGCTCGCCGTCTTCGTCGTCAGACGCAGGCCCCGGCGGCGGTCGCGTCGGCCCAGGAAGCCTGATCAGATCTTTCGGGCCGCCCGCGTCTGCGCTGCAACACGTTTAACAATCTACCGCCGAGGCCGCATGCACCACGCTTCGCGCGCCGGCCCCAACTTGGGAACGAGCCCGGCTGGCTTGCTGACCGGCTCGGGCCAGCAAATCGACGCTCTCTCCCGGGCCCCAACCACGCCTTGCTGCTGCCGCCAACGAGCTTCGACGCAGTCGTGGAGGAGGACGGGGGGCCTTCGTTATATATGGACCTTGTGCTGGAGAAGAACCGCTCGATGTACATAGAGTTTGTGAAATCTGGGATCTCCAGAGGCGCCTTCGTGGCTGGCATGACCTGGAGGACGTCGGGGTGTTCTTCGTGGCCAAGAGGGACACTCGGATCAGCATGGTGCTCGGCTGCAGGAGGAGCAACCAACGGTTTCTGCCTTCTCCACCGGTTGACCTTTTCTCGGCCGCGGGCTTCGCGGACCTGGAGGCGCCCGGGGGGGGCCCGCTCTACTTCGCGGGGGTTGACGTCCAGAACGCCTTCTGCCAGCGCATGTTACCCGCCCGCCCGCGGCCGCTGGTCTGCCTGCCCGCGGCGACCGCCGGCGAGCTGGGCGTCGGCAGGCTCGGCGGGCGCCGCGCGGCGCCTTGGGCGCGCCCGCGCCCGCGGCTGGCCGCGGCGCCGACGGGCTGGAACTGGGTTCTCCACTTCGCGCAGAAGGCCCGCGAGCGCGCTGGATGGCCGCGACGCCCTCAGGCCCGAGCTGCGCGCCGTCGACTTCGCGCCGCCGCCACCGCCGCCGGCGGAGCCGATCCACCCCGTCGACGTCGACGACGCGCTCGTCGCGGACACTGGTCGGGAGGAGGTGACGCGCGTCGGGCGCCTGGCCCCCCAGGCTTCGGAGGCCGCCGGGCTCGCCGTTCACGGCGAGACCGACGCCGCGGACTCCATGGCGATGCTTGGCGGGCAGCTGGAGTGCTGGCCCGCGCGGGCCGCGCTGGCGCCGCGCCGCTTCTGGGCGCCGCGCATGGGCCTCGGCTACTTGGCGCGGCGCCGCCCCAGGGTGACCAGCCGCGACATCGGGCACGTCCTCGGCCACTGCACCTTCGCGGCGCTCTGCCGCCGCGAGAGCCTCAACTGCTTCGGCGCCGTCTGCGCCTTCGTGCAGCAGGGCTACCAGCGCGCTCGGCCGCTGCGGGCGTCGGCGCGGAAGGAGCTGAAGATCTTCCGCGGGGCCCTTCACGCTGAGCGCCCAGCTGGATGCCCCCTGGTCGCCGCTGGCGGTCGTGACCGATGCCTGCAAGACCGGGCGCGCCTCAATTTGGAGGGCGAAAGAGGGGGTCTGCAACAGGGGGTCTTCAATGGGGGCTGAATGGCCCACGTATGCTCAATGTATCGCTCATGTATGCGACCGGGAACGATTGGCTTTCAATGTTGGCGGTCATGGAGGGCCAGTCGTTCGCGCCCGCGCGTTGCCCGCGTGGGCGCGCGCGCCGTCCATCCATTATCGTTCATGCGCGCGGGCGTTATTGCATTCTGCGCGTGGTGTTGCGAAGTGGAGTGCAAGTGTGTCTTGATAGTGCGATTGATGATCGTGTATGCTCCCAAACGATGAACTATCGACCCGCAAGACAGATCCGGAATGGGTCCCGCGACTCTCCCAAAATGTGAATTCACATTTTCCTTTTCCCAAAAATGTGAATTAATATTTCCCTTTTCCCCAAAATGTGAATTCTAGACGCTTCGCGTATCCCCACCAGCCCGTCCAGAAATGAGACCCAGGGGAGTGGAGGTTACGAGGGGGGCGGGGGAGCATGCAGAAGAACAAAGGGCGGGGTGAGCCGCCATATACCCCAAGAGGGGGAGGATGTAGGAGGAGCCGTCGTCGTCGGAGTAGGAGGAGGAAGAGGAGGAGCAGGAGGAGGAGGAGGAGGAATAGAAGGAGGAGGAGATGGAGGACTGCGAGGACGAGGAGGACGAGAAGGAGGAAAAGGAAAAGGAGGAGGAGGAGGAGGAGGAGAAGGAGGAGGAGGGGGAGGGGGAGGAGGGAGCAGGAAGAAAAAGAGGAGGAGGAGGAGGACAATGGCGAGCTTGGGGGCCTCTTGGGTCGTCTTTGGGGCCTCTTGGCGGTCCCGGGGGCCTCCTGCGTATCTCGGGGGGCCTTTTGTGGCCTCTTGGGGGTCTCTTGGGGGCCTCTTGGAGGCCTCATGGGGGCCTTTTGGGGCCTTTTGGGGCCTCTTGGGGCTCTCTTGGGGCGCTCTTGGGGCGCTCTTGGGGGCCTTCGAAGCGCTCTTGGGGCCATCTTGGAGGAGATCTATCAAAGAAGGGGGGTTCCCCAATTAGCGCTGCCCCTGTAGAGTGCCTCGAGTCGCCTCTTGGGCGCCCCAAGAGGCCAAAATCCTTCCAAAACCTAGGTAAAATCAATGTTTGTTGCTTTCTCGCCTTTTCGCTCTTGGAGCCGTCTTGGGTCATGTTGGACTCTCTTGGGGCCTCTTGGGGGTCTCTTGGCAACGTCTTGGATGCTTCTTGGGGGCCTCTTGGGGTCTCTTGGGGCCCTCTTGAGGCGCTCTTGGGGCGCTCTTGGGAGCCTTCGGGGCGCTCTTTGGGCCATCTTGGAGGAGATCTATCAAAGAGGGGGGGGGTGCTTATTAGCCCCGCCCCTCCAGAGTGCCTCGAGTCGCCTCTTGGACCCCCCCAAGAGGCCAAAATCCTTCCAAAACCTTGGTAAAATCAATGTTTTGTGTTTTCTCGTCTTTTCGCTCTTGGACCCGTCTTGGGTCATCTTGGACTCTCTTGGGGCCTCTTGGGGGTCTCTTGGCAACGTCTTGGAGGCTTCTTGGGGGCCTCTTGGGGTCTCTTGGGGCCCTCTTGAGGCGCTCTTGGAGCGCTCTTGGGAGCCTTCGGGGCGCTCTTTGGGCCATCTTGGAGGAGATCTATCAAAGAAGGGGGGTTTCCTTATTAGCCCCGCCCTTCCAGAGTGCCTCGAGTCGCCTCTTGGACCCCCCCAAGATGCCAAAATCCTTCCAAAACCTATGTAAAATCAATGTTTTGTGTTTTCTCGCCTGTTCGTTCTTGGAGCTGTCTTGGGCCATCTTGGACGCTCTGACACCTCGCGACCGGCCCCGTCCAGGTCAGTGGGGAGGGGTAAGGGGAGGGGTAAACCCCTCCCCGAAGGGGGAGAAGGGGGTCGGCAGAGGAAACTCCCTAGACCACCTACGCCCCA